AGCTTTCTTGGCATCAATCTCTCTTTTTTTTTTTTTAAGATTCTATTTATTTATTTGTGAGAGAGAGAGAGCAAGAGCACAAGTGGTTTGAGGGGTAGAGGGAGAAGCAGACTCCCCACTAAGTAGGGAGCCTGATGCGAGGCTTGATCCCAGGACTGGGATCATGACTTGAGCCGAAGGCAGATGCTTAACGGACTGAGCCAGCCAGGTGCTCCATGGCATCAATTTCTAAACTTCAAACTGTGTTATGAGAACAGAGTTCTTAATTTTAAGGGATGGTGATAAATCAAAGTGTCTACAGCAGGTAAACGAAATGGTAAGAATTCTATACGAGAAATGGTTGCCAAAGGTGGAGCTAAGTGGGAGGAAAGAAGGCTCTAGAGGGAATTTCTCCAGTCCTATGAGGATCCCTCATGCAGCATACAGAGTAAGTTTACTACCGGGTGGCTTCAGAAGGCAGAACAAGAGCCAGATAAGGATGTTCCAGGGAGTCAGAAAGGAAAGTTCTGGTTAGTGTTGGAAAGAGAACTGGTGGTGGGCCGAGTGAAAACCGGAGATGGAGTCACTAACCCTGAGGACTCGGGACTGTGTCCTCTAGACAAGGAGGTGGGCGCTTCACAGATCCAGGCCAGGGTCCGCTGGGCTGTGGCTCTGTGGGTCTTGACTAGGTGATTCCCCAAATGGCCCATCTCAGGACACTTCAGCTGGCTGTTGGCACCCTGGTCAGTAAATTGCGCACAGGTTGCTGCCCGGATCTCTGCTGAGTTGGGTGGTTGGTCTCTGTCTTGCTCTTGTGAAATCACTTGGGCTTGTTGGCCGTGACAGTGGGGCTCTGTGCCGGCACCAGACACCCTTTCTCCACCTCTGACTGCTTCCTAGGGAGCACTGCTTGGTGTGGGGAACAGGATATCTGCCAGTCAGGTGGCAGAATAAAGGCAGACCGAAGCCAAAGAGCTCTACACTTTCTTTGTGGTTTTGGAAAAACGAGAAGGCAAGTGCATGTGATGAGCAGTTGTCTCATCTGAAGCTGGCTGCCTATGAGGGGAACAGGCTCCCCTTGTCCCGGGTGGAGGAGTACAGAAGGCAGTCCTGGGCGAGAGCTCTGGGCTGGCAGCCCCTCACTGTTGACTCAGTGCTGAACCTGGCAGGGTGTGCCCGTGTGTGTGAGCACACATATACACACAGGGTTGCTGTTAATAAGAACTTCTGTGTTTTTTTTTTTTTTTTTTAAGATTTTATTTATTTATTTGACAGCGAGAGGCACAGCGAGAGAGGGAACACAAGCAGGGGGAGTGGGAGAGGGAGAAGCAGGCTTCCCGCTGAGCAGGGAGCCCGATGCGGGACTCGATTCCAGGACCCTGGGACCATGACCTGAGCCGAAGGCAGACGCTTAGCGACTGAGCCACCCAGGCGCCCCGAACTTCTGTGTTTTTATCTCAGCTCTCGCTCTGGTTTTCTGAACAGAGAAACTTGAACAAATACATGGGACCCCAGGGGCTGGGATTGGGATCTGCCGAACTTTCTTGCACCCTGAACTACCTTGTTACTTTGATTACTCTCCATCTTCCTTCCATTTGGCGGTGTGTTGGCACTATGCGTTTCTGCTTTGGGATTAGGCAAAGGAGGCAGGGGGTAGGATGAGAGCTGACATCCGGACTGCCATGGAAGAGCCTCCCAAGAGATGAGGACGTCTTGGATTGTAACTTCTTGGGCAACATCTGGCCAACGGGGCCCTGACCACAGGACTATCCGGGATGAGGCCCAGAGGGCAAGCCCGACTCCTAGAGCTGCCCAGGAGGCCAGAGCCAGCCTCAGGGAAATCAAAAATCCTCATGAACTCTGCTTCCCTTCTGAGGTCTTGTGTTTAGGTCTAGGGGATTTTCGTATGAGTCATTTTCAGCTCAGAACACCCAGACTGTGGTTAATGACTTGAAATTTTATTGGGTGAAGGATTATTGAACCCCTTGGACTCTTTCTCCAACCTTTTTATTATAGTTCAGCTGACCCACCACGTGCTCCTCAAGTGGTCCCCTTTGGGGACGTTCAGAAAACAGCCTTTAACACAAGTGACTTTGACCTCTGATATCTTCAGGACCCATTTTTATCTTTTCCCCTCTTTTTGGCTCTAATCTTACTGTGCCGTTAAGACTGTTTTTGTTTTAATCAGCTTTTTATTTTAGAGTAGTTTTTAGATTTATAGAAAACTATAGCATACCATGCTTAGTGTACTTTTATACCTTTGTACTTTTGTATTCTATAGTATATTTTTATAGTATGCTTTTTGTATAGAACCCCCATGTGCCCCAGACAGTTTTCTGTTATTAACATGTTACATAGTAACCTACTACTTATTATTATTTTTTTAAGATTTATTTATTTATTTGAGAGAGAAAAAATGCATGTGCGGGAGAGTGGGAAAGGGGGCAGAGGCTGAGGAAGAGAGAGAATCCCAAGCAGACTCCCTGCTGAGCGCAGAACCCTGAGATTGTGACCTGAGCCAAAATCAAGAGCTGGCTGCTCATCCGACTGAGACACCCAGGCGTCCCTACATAGTAAACTACTTATTATTATTAACTGAAGTCTAGACTCTACTCAGTTTTCCGTAGTTTTTATCTAATGTCCTGATTACGTTCCAGTGTGCCATCCAGAACACCACATTACATTTACTTGTCTTGTTTCCTAGGCTCCTTTTGGCTGTGACAATTTCTCAGACTTTTCTTGTTTTTGATGACCTTCACTCTTTCTCTTTTATTGTGGCAAAAAACAATCATTAAAACCATTTTAAGATTTGGTGCTGAAATGGCCAAAAAGGCCAAAAATGTTGTCAAGTGCTCTGAGATTTTAGGGACAATCGGGAGAATGTGAATCCTTCTTTTGAGAGAGAGAGCTGCCTACGATAGGTTTTGTGTATCAGGGTTACTTAGAACTGAGCTCTGCCCTATGAGCCAGCGGAAAGGAAGTAGATGTGCACCATTCAGCCCGTGCAATATTCCTCCGCTGAAAATGCCTCTCCTTTTTTTTGTGCTAACCCAAATTTTTACTTCACTTAAGGTTCACATCCAGAACCCACTGGAGAGGCTCCCAGACATCTTCCTCCTATTCCGAATTCCGAAGGCATTTGTAACAACAGTTTGTACCACACTGTCTTGTATAATTCAGCTGCTCAAACTCTCCTTGGACTGCATCAGTTTGGCTTCCCAACCAGACTGAAAGGCCCTTGACATCAAGGACCAGCTCTCTGACTTCTTTTATTTATTTATTTATTTATTTTTTAAAAGATTTTATTTATTTATTTGAGAGAGAGAGAATGAGAGGCAGAGAACATGAGAGGGAGGAGGGTCAGAGGGAGAAGCAGACTCCCTGCCGAGCAGAGAGCCTGATGCGGGACTCGATCCCGGGACTCCAGGATCATGACCTGAGCTGAAGGCAGTCGCTTAACCAACTGAGACACCCAGGCGCCCCTCTGACTTCTTTTATACCTTTACAATAGTTTTATTATTTTGTAGATTGGACAAATGGGGAGGAAAGCTAAAATGACTTGGCGAAAGCTGCGCAGAAGAGCCACCCAAACCAAACAGTAACATTCATTTCCAGTTTACAGGAGCTGGGGCTGGGGAGGCAAGGGAAGCACTCAGCTCCCACATGGTATTTAAGGGAGCACCAAAGAATTGAGCAATCAAAATGAATAATATTTTAATGCAGTACTTAAAAATTAACACAAAAAAATCCGTGATGAACAGATGTTGCCGCTAGCCTTATGACCCTATGTTATTGTGCAATGAAAGAGTGGTTTCCAATCAAGCCAGGATTCCCAGGCCTGTCAGCACTCCCTCCCCTGCCAGGTGACATACGAGGGTTGACAATGGCAATACTGGCTTTAGTTGCAATTGTGGTTTTTGACTGTAGAGCTTTAATTAACTTTTTGCCCTTGGTTCAAACTATGGGAGGATGTTTTCATAGGTGCATCTAGTGGTGCCATTTTCCTTTTTCCTCAAGGTGTCTGTGAGTCCACAAGGCACTGCAACTTACAAAATGCTTTAGCATATATCATTTCACTAATGCTCCAAAAAAAAAAAAAATATCCTGAGAGGATGGTGTTATCCTCATTTTAGAGAAAAAGAAACTAGGTCTCAGAGTAAGTCCCTAATACAGCAATATTGGGCTGGCCAGCCGTGGGGCTGGGAGTCTGATGTTTCCTGACCCAGATCCTGCCCAGCAGATCGCCTTTGTATACTCCTCCCAACCCTCTGCTTTTCCTTCTGAGCTGTGTGCACTCATGTCTGCCTCTGCCATTTCCCCAGGGAAGTGTGCATGTGCTTGAACGAGTATGTGTACGTGGTTGTGTGTGTTTGCTTGTATGAGCATGTATGTGCATGCACGTGTGTGTACTTTCAGACGTGAGAAGCCATGGCACAGAGGGCTTATAGCCAAAGAGGGCTTACGATGCTGAGGCCAGACAGAGTTTCTGTCTGCCTGACTTTGCCTGCTGAATCACATTTGGAGAGCGGCTCTAGCCCTGAGAGCTCAGACAGGACTTTACTTCCTTCCCCATCCACAGGAACCATTGCCAGGGCCAGGGGCAAGGAACAGCCCCTCCTGAAGTGCCTCCCTTCTCAGGCTTTAGGGAGAAGGCTCAGAATCTTGGAGGTGATGTAGAAGTTGCCAACCCCATGGCTAGAAGAATAAAAATAACGTGTTATTTGGGGGAACCCCAGCTTGTCTTTTCCAAAGTGAGTGCCTGAAAACCCCCCACAAATATGCAGCCCAGCTTCTGGATTATGAATGCAGAAAAGGGGTTTTTCTTGTATCAGGAATCATTCCATGTAAATTCATGTTCTCTGAAATGCCATCTCCTTTCCAAACCCAAGCCCGGCATTATAACCTAAGAAATCATTATTACCCAGTCCCTCAATCCTATTCCAGTAAACGGAGGACCACACACCAGCAGCTTTCAGCAGTTTTCCCTGGCCAAATATTGTTCTATCCTGTGTTAGTTTTGACAGGATTAGTCGTGGAGTCCTACTAGAAAAGTCCCAGATCCCTGTTGGCTGGACAGCCTGTTAAAATATTGTTTTGCTTTCTTGCAGTTTGCAAGCCTGTGGCCCCTGAGAGACATTTTTAGGTATGTTGCTTCTTGGCCGGCATGTTTCAGACCACGACGGCCCAGCCACGGCCGGCGCCTTGACCAAGAGGCTCTTGAGTGTGTGAAGAAGCACCTTTACAGAGGTCGACCAGAGACCACCTCACCATGCGGACAGACCTAGGCACAGCTCAGGCGGGAGCTGGGGCTGTGGGCTTGGCCTGGGGGTGTTTGTGCACATGGGGAACAGCGGGCAACCCAGAAGGTAGCAAAGGAAGGCCGTAGGAAGCCAGCCCCTGAGAGCCTTGGGGAGGATAGTCCAGCGCATTTAACGCGGTGCCCTGAAATGCGGACCACATGGTCACTCCGGTTGCTCCAAGCCAGGCTCCAAACACAGGAGCTGACTCCTCCATCCGCCAGTAGCTCTCGTCTTTGTTTACTTTGGTCTTTACCCCGTTATGGGAACCAGAAGGAGGAATTGGTAGGTGGCTGTGCGGCTTGCAGGATCTCTGACCATTTGGGGGGGATTGTTATTTGATTTGAACTCTATGGTATCCCGGTTGTGGGTGTACACATTTTATTGAGTTTGATGGGAAAATATTGGCTTTAATCAACTAATATTAATGAATACCCACCTCACTGTCTGTTTTTATTGCAGTATGCTATGTGCTTACTTCTAACTTTTTAGGCTGGATTTAAAGATCACAAAGTAATGAGGCCAAAATTCTACAGTTTTTGTGTCATTTATTTTATTTTTCACTAAATAAAACTCTCCTAAGTCTTGTTATTTTATTTGTTTTCCCTTCCAGCCTCTATTATTCTGTAACATTCCTTTACATTGTCTTGAAATTCTCTTCAGACACTGCTCTGGTGGTGTTACCACTCGGCTGTCGTAGGGAACCGGACGGCTTACGCAGCGGATGGACGTGCGAATGGACGCTGAGGGTCTATGTGGTAAGACCCTCCACGAGGCTCATCCTTACTTATTTCTCGTTCCCACACTCTGCTCCAAGGAAGCCTGCTTACAGTGTCTCACACTAGGGTGTCTACGCCTGGTAGTCACACTGGAGAATATACTTTTACTGACTAGAATGTCTGGAATCTGCCAGTCTATGATTTTAAGATCTGTGATGGATTCACTAGGCTACAACATTTTCTCTGAGTCACCTGGTCTATGATGTTCGTTGATCCCATAACCCCCAGGACTGGGCATATCATTCACCCTAGTGAGTTTGCACTTCTTTATGTATGTCACTACATATTATCTTTTTATGTGCATTTTGCCTTGTTTTCCTTAGAAGGAAGACTACTACTTCGGGCAGGAATGCAGCCTTCTGTATCTCCCCACAGCTTCTAAGAGTGTTCTGCAGCTCAAAGTTCCCTGATAAACAGGGTGACTCAAGCATTTTAATGAACCAGAGTACAGATCAAGGCTGTGCAAGCAAAGGGTAAGAATACTCTAGAATAAGACTGGCATTCATTCCTCAGGTTTCTGTATGTTTATAGAGCAAGAAGGATCCTGGCAGTTTGGGTAGCTCTGTTCCAGTTACCTGACATCCAGCAGGTCCAGGCGCTGACATCTGTCACTCAGCCATGTCAAATGGGGTGACTGGACCAACGGAGACATATGGTGGAGGGGCCTGTTTTTGCCTTAATTTGTTTTTTTTTTTTAAATTAATTAGTTTATTTATTTGACAGAGAGATAGTGAGAGCAGGAACACAAGCAGGGGGAGTGGGAGAGGGAGAAGCAGGCTTCCCGCGGAGCAGGGAGCCCGATGTGGGGCTCGATTCCAGGACCCTGGGATCATGACCTGAGCCGAAGGCAGATGCTTAACAACTGAGCCACCCAGGCGCCCCTGCTTTAATTTGTTTTTAACTGGAATGTGTGTGTTTTGGGACCACACAGCAGTGGTGAGAAGCTTCCACCTGCTTGGGACAAAAATGATGAGCCAATGTTTCTAGGCCCGTGTTTATTTAATGTACTGTGTAAACAGTGTCGACAAGGGAAAGGAAAAAGTGATAAAGATTAATACAAACACCCTCTAACTTAACCCTCCAGAGATTGCTGTCTAAATTTCTTGGTGTTGTGTTTTCATTTGCTTTCCTGAATTAAAATGGATTTGGAGCCTATGAACACCTGACGCTACGTGAGCCTTCTGGGTAAGAGATGCAGGTTTGCATTTCTGAGTTCCGTGTCATTTTGGAATGTCTTACTCACAGTGTCAAAGATTTATGTTAAAATGTAGGAATTCCAATAAAGCCTCTTGTTAAAAATAAGCAAACAACAAAACTTCTCACCGAACATAAAACCACTTTCTATGCTGCTCCCCAGACTAAGGCCAAACTCTATTTTTTTACTCAGTTGTCCCATAGGGAGTTTGCTGTGGCTCATTCATTGAGTCTCTGCAGCTTGTGATTTCTCCTCAAAATGCCTTTCTACTGGGCTTTTCAAGACCCTCACAGGGCAGCCCTGATGATGAATGCTAGAGGTGCTCCCTCAGTCAGGGGAAACTGAGGTCCATGGTTTTCCTCCTGTAGGGCAGTAAGGGTCTAGGGGCTCAGCAGCAGGCCAGACCCCAACCCAGATCCCTCACAGATGCCTTTTCCTGTGTCCTCTCTCGCGTACTGTGGGGTCAGGGCCAATCCCACCACTTTACTCATGAGAGAATGGAGGGCCCAGGTGCTTAGGGGGAGAGCTGGAGGCAGGACGCTGGCCTCCCGCCTCTGGGGCTGGTGGCTTTTGTTGTTGTCCTTCTGTGGGCTCTGGGCCTGCCCCTGATAGCGCCTTCACCCAGAGTGGAGGCAGCCGCGACAACCAGGCAGGGCTGGGGCCATGACTCCAGCCAGTTAATCTTTCATGAGAGGTCTGGACAGACTCTTCTGGCCTCCTGGGAGCTCCTGGGCAGCTCAGAGCCTTCAGTTACAGAACCAGCTTGAACAATTACAGAGTTGAATGCAGGGAGGCTGATCTGGGTACTGTTCTAACTTCTGTTTTGAGTTGTGTTCAAGGAATAAGCACAGAGAGGATTATCACATGGCGGGAGAGATGAGCAGACGGAAAAGCCAGTTTTAGCTCCAGAGCTCGATGTCTGGGGTTCACAGGAGGGGCATCACGTGGGTACCCTCCATTTATCTACTCACAGCTAGCCGGTCGGTCGTTCCTTTAGCAAACTGCCGAGCTGTAGTGATTACATCACACAGTGCAAAGGCCTTTGGCCGTTATTGCGCTCCGCCTGGCCGACGGCCAGAGGCTCTGCGAGGGCCACGTGGACACGTTCCAGAAACAACTAGAGGATGTAGCTGCTCGCTGGGTGCTTTCAGCTTTTGTTGTTTCTTTTCCCCTTCGTTTCTTACCTGTACCTATGAATCAGTCCTCTGTTTACTGTGAGTTGGAACCAAAATGACCTCAGAGGTCGATAACTCATGCTGTTGGCCCCCACGAACAGTACCGAGTGACCCTTACGCAAGGCGTTTCCACCATCTGAGGAAAGAGATGGTCTGAGTTACTCTTCAGTTAAAAACACTCCATGTGGTTTTGTTTGGCAATTTAAAAATAGGTGTGTCCTGTGGGCTCAGTTTTCTAGAATCCCAGGTAGGAAGAAAACCAGTTGTTTTCATTCAAGGGTTTATAAAAGATCCCCTGAGGGGTAACTAAGCTCTAACTGGACAAGAATGCTGACATGGCCCCCATCACCTCCCACAAGCAGCCACACTCAAGGAGGGTCCCAGGCCTGGGTTCTGCACCCTGGGGGCCGACCTCTCATTGCTTATTTGCTCCCATTGTCTTACTTGTTTTAATCCAGTCACACTGCTGTGGTCTGAATGTTTGTGTCACTTTCAAATTCATATGTTGGAATCCTAACCCCCTAAAGGCAAAGGTATTTGGAGATGGGGCCTTTGGGAGGTGCTTAAATCATGAGGGTGGGATTAGTGTTTTATAAAAGAAACCCCATAGAGCTCCCTTGCCCTCCCACCATGTGAAGACAGTGAGAAGCTACTGTCCATGAGCCAGGTAGAGGGCCCTCACCCAACCACACTGGTGCCTTGATCTTGGATTTCCCAGCCTCCAGAATGACGAGGAATAAATTTCTGTTGTTTATAAGCTACCCAGTGTGTGGGACTTTGGTATAGCAGCGCGAATGGACTAAGACACACACTTACAGGGGCCACACAAACAGACCTTTCCAAGGAAAGAAGGACCTTGCAGAAGAGGTGGTCTCAGCCTGTATCTGACTTTCTTCTGGGACTCAGGGCTGGACACCGCTAAAAGCTCCGTCATTGGCCCGGGCAGTGCATGAGGCAGGCGGGCTCCCGTGCGTGTTGTTGTGGTCTCCCAGGCCTCACCCCCCACCCTCCCTGTAGGGCTGGGGTTCTGTATGTGTGCCCTCGTTTGTTCTTCCCTCTCAACACCCAGGTCAGGTAGACGATATTCTCAGCCCCAGTTCGCCAATGAGGAAACTGAGCCTCAGGCAGGTTAAGTCACTTGATCAAGATTATGATTCTGCAAAACGGCCAATCTGAGACTTAGATCTTCTTGCTCCAAAGTGTGTTGCCTCCCACAGAGGCCCACCCCATCTGCTGTTTATTTTTTTAAGTGGTCAGGAACTTAGCGAAGCTGCTGGGGCAGTGGGGCTGTGGAAGTCAGCCTGCTCTTTACCGAGGGCTCATGGGGCAAGAGGAGGGCGGCTGAGCCCACCCTGTTTGGAGAAACTAGCTCAGCAGAGAGCAGTCTCATGCCTGCAGTCAGCGGGGCCCGTAGGAGGTGGCCTCTGACCACCACAGAGGGACGCAGGACGAGGGAAAGAGGACAAGGGAGAAAGGGCATCTTAACCGAGAGATTTGTCAAGTGTTCCACGACTGGAGGCGGGGGGAAAATCATAGATGATAAATACCAATCCAAAACCCTCATGGGCTGCTTTTGAAGAGGCCCCTGACCTCTTACTTTGTGCAGATATAGAGGCTTAGATACTCGAACACACACACACACACACACACGCACACCATTTTGTTTTGTTTTGCTGCGTTCTCTTTTTGCTGCCAACAGGAATTTATTCTTCTATTAAATAAGGCTATATATAGCATGGTAAATTGTCTATCTACAGCTCACTAAGATGCTAATTTTTACATTGTTTTTCTTATACCAATACTGGGAAGAGTCTGAAAATTTCTCTCAAAAGGAAAACCTTTTAAAGCTTTTAAAAACAATTTTAAGTTCAACCTGAACTTCATAATCCTTATCACAATTGGAGTGAATTAGTCATGTAATTATTTGTTTGATGTCTGCATCTTCCATAGACTTCATAAAGCTTCAGAAAGACCAGAACCAAGCCTGTCACTTCTTCATTTAACAGATACTTAACGAGAGCCCATGTATGTCAGATACTTGCATCGTGGAGAGGCAAGGGTGAATGAAACACCAGGGATTCTGCAATGAACCTTCTCAATTAATTCGGGGTCCCCAGCACCTGGGAATCCCTGGCATACAGCAGTCACTTAATGAATACTCACTGGATAAGAGACAAACGTGCTTCTGGTGTATTCTTCCCACCCCACATCTTCCCTTAATAAGAGATTCGGGTCCTCACTCTGTCCTCCTGGGTGAGCCCCCACTAGCCAGCACCCCCTGCACTGCCCTCTGGGCACATAGGTCTGTGCCTGTAGGCTGGGGTCAGGATCACCCTGCTTGCCCTCAGCACGGGCAGAGGACAGACAGGGAAAAGGGACCCGGCTGTCCCCGAAGATGAGGGGAGGAGTGAAGACTGGAGAGGGTTGACCCACTTTTCCTGTCTGTGAAGTTCCCAACTGGGCCCTAGGGCTTTGTGGGGAGGGGAGGGGCGGGAGGGGCGGGGTGGGCGGGTATCCTGGCTTGCCGCCCTGACCCCTGCTCTGTGCTACATTATTCGCAGGACAGTGACGTGTACCAGTGGGGTGGCTGAGTCATCAACAAAGCTGTTGTGTGCTGGCTGAAGAAGGAGTGGCCAGAGAGATTCAGAGTCCCGTGGGCTCAGCCTGGGGGCTGCTGAGGCCAGTCTCTTCATTGCTCTGGAAGACAAAAGGCTACAGCACCCACTGGTCTCCTTCTCCCTCATCCTGGGGCTCTGGGCAAGTGCATCAACATCCCCTCCCACCCCCGCCCCCTGCCTTTGGAGAGGGAGTTGAGAGAACTCAAGCATTAATGAGGGAGAGACATGCGTGCCGGGCCTGGAGCTGTCTCTACCCAACAAACGTGGAATCTTGGGCACTCCCTCCAATTCTCCAAACCCCAGTTTTCTCATCTGGAAATGGGTATAATTATATCTACCCGAAGGGGGTGTGGAAAGAGTAGCATTGTTATTCGTACAGCCTGGGTGCTTAATAAATGGTGGGCGACATTTCCCAGGGTTCCCAATTGGAGTCTGATCCAATTTCGTGCTCATGATACCGGCATAACACAAATCACAATCTCTATCCGTCTCTCCCGGCACAGACGGAGGACTATCCGCCCAGACTCTGCCTTTTTGAGGGGGAGGAGGCACAGCGTGTTTTATCTGGTCCTGCTGGTGTTGGGGTGAGAATCACGACCTGCTTTCAACCCGAGCACGAAACCTGTCCTCTGAGCACAACCAGCCCCTCCGTGGCCTCTGTCCCTTCTCCACCTTCCTCACTCTTAACTGAATTCCCTGTATTTCCTTCCCTGCCCTTGGAGAAGTCTCTGAATCTTTCCGCATGTTCCTCTTGGGTACTCCCCTTCTTCCTTCTTGGCTCAGGGGAAGGGGGGCCCCGTTTTCACCCACTGAAGCCCTCCTTTTCCCCCCTTCTCCTGCTCCCTGCCCACCAGCTCTCCTGCCTCCCTCCTGTTTCTTCCAAACTGTCCTTTCCTTCAGCAGCTCTGCGCTCCTGGGGGCCTGGTCCTGCAGCGCCCTGGGCTGCTTCTTCTTTTTTTTTTTCCTAAAGATTTTATTTATTTATCTGACAGAGAGAGACACAGCGAGAGAGGGAACACAAGCAGGGGGAGTGAGAGAGGGAGAAGCAACCTTCCCGCGGAGCAGGGAGCCCGATGCGGGGCTCTATCCCAGGACCCTGGGATCATGACCTGAGCCGAAGGCAGACACTTAACGACTGAGCCACCGAGGCCCCCCTGACCCTGGGCTTCTTGTCAAATGGAAATCCTTAGGCTTCGTTCCTACCCATTCCAATGGAATGGGGGCCTGGGAATCTGGGTGATATTCGAAAAATTCTCTCCTTTAAAAAAATACTTTATAAATGTTAAGATCACAAAAGTGACAGCTCTACAAGTCTCCATTCTCACACAAACATATGCACAAGTAAAGAGAAACTCCTCCTGTGGATTTTTTACAAATGGGATCATACTGTATAAATTAGCCTGCAAATTGCTTTCCTCTTGTATGTACACATCACAGACATCCCTCCAGGTCAATCAGTATATGTGCCACCTCATTCTCTTTAAAAGTCATATAATATTTCTGATTCCACACATAAAACCATCACTACGATCCAGGCTTGAGCATATCTATTATTCCAAAACTACCTTATGCTGCCCAGGAATCAATCCTTCTTTTGTCCCCCACCTAGATCCAGGGTCACCATAGGTTAGTTTGTATTTTCTGTAATTTTTAATAAGTGGATTAATAGAGTACAAAAAATAATAAAAGTCATGTACTATTTCATGGTGGAGATGGATGCACTTATACAACCATGCCTCGGGCTCTAGGCGTCAAGGCTGGTTCTGGTCTGCTTACTGCCCCGCGGCCTTAGCGGTGCCGTATTTAACATCGCTGTGTGTATTCTCACCGACCTGCGCTTTCATTGCTGCAGAACAGCTTCATAAAAATGGGATGGGTACAGGGGCGCCTGGGTGGCTCAGTCGTTAAGCATCTGCCTTCCGCTCAGGTCAGGATCCCGGGGTCATGGGATCGAGCCCCGCCCCGAGTTGCATCGGGCTCCCAGCTCAGCGGGAAGCCTGCTTCTCCCTCTCCCTCTGCCCCTCCCCCTCGCTCGTGCGCGAGCGCGCGCTCTCTCTCAAAGTAAATAAATAAGATCTTTGAAAAAATGAGATAGATCTGTAAAAAGATATATGTAATTTTTTTTTTAAGATTTTATTTATTTATTTGACAGAGAGAGAGAGAGAGAGCGCGCACAAGCAGGGGGAGGGGCAGGCAGACGCTTAACCAACTGCGCCACCCAGGCACCTGATTTCTTGCATTCTAGAAAACATTAGCTATTATTATTTTTCAATGTTTGCCAATCACATGACAAGGGGATATTGTCACATGTCACTTTATTTGACATTTTCCTGTAAGTGAAACCGAGCATCTTCTTCTGTGAATACTGAGCTTTGAAATTTCTTCTGTGGGAAGTCTATTCATTACCTTCCACTACTTTGTTAATGAGCTTGTCCTTTTCCTGTGAATTTGTGGCAGTTCTTTAAATACTGACCATACTAAATCTTTATTTACTGTAAGAATTGAAAACGCCTTTTTCCAGTAGATTTTTTTTTTTTTTTACTATTATCTTAGTTTACTTTTCCTAAACATGCAAAAATCTGTCATTTTTATTTAATCAGATTTGTCTGGTCTTTATGGCTTCTAGGTCTCATGTCTGGCTTAGAAAGGGCACCGAATACTGTAAGATTATACGGATATTCATGTCAATTAAAAATTTTTATTACTGGGGCGCCTGGGTGGCTCAGTTGGTTAAGCGACTGCCTTCGGCTCAGGTCATGATCCTGGAGTCCCGGGATCGAGTCCCGCATTGGGCTCCCTGCTCGGCGGGGAACCTGCTTCTCCCTCTGACCCTCCCCCATCTCGTGCTCTCTCTCTCTGTCTCATTCTCTCTCTCAAATAAATAAATAAAATCTTAAAAAAAAAAGTTTTTATTACTTGTATTTTATTTTTAATATTTGTGTTAAAATATCTTTGGGGGGCACCTGGGTGGCTCAGTCAGTTAAGCATCTGCCTTCAGCTCTGGTCATGATCTCGGGGTCCTGGGATCGAGCCCCATGTTGGGCTCCCTGCTCAGCAGGGAGTCTGCTTCTCTCTCCCCCTCTGCCCCACCCCATGCTTTCTCTCTCTCTCTCAAAATAAATAAAATCTGGGCACCTGGGTGGCTCAGTTGGTTAAGCGACTGCCTTCGGCTCAGGTCATGATCCTGTAGTCTCAGGATCGAGTCCTGCATCGGGCTCCCTGCTCAGCAGGGAGTCTGCTTCTCCCTCTGACCCTCCCCCCTCACGCTCTCTCTCTATCTCATTCTCTCAAATAAATAAAATCTTTAAAATAAATAAATAAAATTTTTAAAAAAATAAAATAAAATATCTTTGGAATTTATTGTATCCCTTTGGAATTATTTCTGGGTATAGCGTGAGGTAGATGTTTAGCTATTTTTTTCTTCTAGGTAAAGAGCTAATTATGCCAGCATCATTTATTACTAAAATAATTATTTTCTCCCTAAATTGAGATATCCCCCCGGTTATATGTTAAGTGCTTGATGTCTCTTGAACTGATTTCTGGGCTCCAGTCTCTTCACCAGGGCCACTCAACTCTCTGCACCAGGAGCAAGTTTCATTCCATTACAGGAGTTTTGGGGTCATTTTACCATCTGGTAAACAAGGAGAGAATCTGCCTCTTTCATGGGCTGCTCTGGTAAGTCTCATTACTGACGGTGTGATTTGGGGCAAGGTGGGTTAATGTCTTTATCTGGAAAATTCAAGACCCAAACCCTGCCTTCCTCACAGCTTGGCTGTAGGATGTCATGAGCTTGTCTCCTTCCTTCCCTTCCCTTGGGCCCCGAGCATTCCACCCTGAGGTCAGCCCCACCATCCTGGAAGCCCCAGTTGTCTCTGGGCAGGCTCTTTCTCTGCCTCCCATTTCTCTGCAATAACCCTTCTGAGCAGATGAGGCGCGACTTCTCACTTCCAACCCTGACTTCTCACCTAAGTCTGCTTCTGAGTTTATCTTTGTTTGTAGAGTGTCTTCATTAGTTTATGCTTTTTCCTTCTTCCAAACAGGATTTGAAGTGACTCAGACCAGGCTTCTGAGCTGCCTGCTGGGCATCCCCTCCCTCCTGCATTCTAAGGTCATGTGTGAGCCACACTTTGCCACACTCGCTTCTACTCCTTTCAGTCTTATTCCTCAGCCTGGTTAAAGCAGCCTCCTGGTCACTCAGACTGGAAATAATGGCTGTGGTGTCCTCTCTCTCTGTCATGTCCAAACAGACACAAGGTCCTTTGGGGCCCCCTCTGCAGCATCTCTCAGCCCTGTGGTCTTGCCTTCAGTTGGGGCCTTCAGCGGCCTCTGCCCTGTGACTGTGGCCCCTGACATCCCCTGTTTTCCTGCCCTTCCACACTTCTTTCTGTGTGACCGCTCCCCTGATCAACACCCCCTATAGCTCCCCATGGCCTGTGAATACCATTTGAGCTTCTTAGAATGGTTATGAAGCTTTCCAGGTTCTGTCTTTAAAACGATACTTCTGGTTTGTTTTCTATTGGTAGGCCTATTTTGTCCAAATGTGTTTTAAAGTGATCACAAAAGAAAAGGTCTCATCTCTCTGAAGGAAGTGTGTAAATCTGATGGGAACATGCAAAGATGAGCAAAACACCCTTTCTTTGCCGGGGCCCGCTGTTAACGACTAACGTCAGTGTCGGGCTAGAGGCCCGGGGTGAGGAAAGCCCCTGCCCTGTGGAGCCTCCAGAAGAGAGGAGCTTGCCCGGAGCCAAAGCCCTTCTCTTCCTGCTAGAAAGGTACAGGTACAAAGGACCATTAGAACCGGCAGAAAAGCAATTAATAAAGTAAGTGAAAGGCAGAACTGAAACCACAGCACCTATTAAAGAATAACAAATAACAGGTG